ATTCCCATCCCATCCATTCCCATCCCAAATCAAGGCCTCATTCCCAGAATCCCAGCCATTCCCATCCCATCCATTCCCATCCCAAATCAAGGCCTCATTCCCAGAATCCCAGCCATTCCCATCCCAACACCCCAGCCGTTCCCACCCCGACCCCGCTGCTGCCTCGGTTTCCCCGGCAGGCTGTGTCTGTCCATCACGGATTTCCACCCGGACACCTGGAACCCAGCGTGGTCCGTGTCCACCATCCTGACGGGGCTGCTGAGCTTCATGGTGGAGAAGGGGCCCACCCTGGGCAGCATCGAGACCTCCGAGTTCACCGTGAGCGCCGGGAAACCCGGGATGGCCGGGGGAAACCCCAGGAAATTTGGGACATCGCGGGGGCGGGGGGGGGGGGGGGAAATCCCAGAAAATTCAGAATTTCTTGGAGGAAAATCCCAGGAAATTTGGGCTATCTCAGGGGGGGAAATCCCACAAAATTTGGGATGTCTCTGGGGTAAATCCCAGGAAATTCAGGATAGCCGAGGGGAAAAATTCCAGAAAATTCGGGATATCTCTGGGCGACAGTCCCAGGAAATTCAGGATTTCTTGGGGGGAAATCCCAGGAAATTTGGGATATCTCAGGGGGTAAATTTTAGTGAAAAATGCTCAGTTTTAAAGAGCCAAAATCCACTTGGGAAGCATTGGGAATTTGGGATAATTTGGGAGATCCCGGGAATTAAATCCCAGCTGAGATTCCCACAAAACCCTGATCCCACAGGATCAAAAATTAAGATAATTTTCTGCCTATAAACCTCAATTTTAGTCAAAAATCCTCCCAAAAGTGAAGTTTTAAATGTGAAAAACCACTTGGTTTTGCACCCTTCTTTTGGGACATGAGGCATGGGATTGGAAGAAATGGATTTAATTTTCAAGGAATAGCTGAAAAATCTGATTTTTCTCCCCAGAAAAGGCAGCTGGCTGCACAGAGCTTAGCATTTAATTTAAAAGATAAAGTCTTCTGTGAGCTCTTCCCTGAAGTGGTGGAGGTAAGAAAATCTTCATTCATTGTTTGTTTTTCCTAAAAAATTGAGTTTTGGTGAAACAAAATTTCCCAAATCACCATACATTCTGTTTTCCCACTGAATTTCCTCTCCGCTTTTCCAGGAAATGAAGCAAAAACCCCCAGATAATCCAAACTTTTATCTTCTCCTGTGCAGGAATTCGAACAAAAACCACCCAAATCCCTCCAAAATTCCATGTCCCACCCAATTTCCTCTCTCTTTTCCAGGAAAGGAAGCAAAAGCCCCCAAATTTCCACTTTCCCACCCGATTTCCTCTCCCCTTTTCTAGGAAATGAAGCAGAAGCACACAAACCATGCCAGGTTCCATGGAACTTTCTGTTCCCCCCGTGCAGAAACTCAAACAAACCCCCCCAAAATTCCATTTCCCACAGAATTCCCTCTCCCCCTTTGCAGGGAATCAAACAAAAGCCGCCGGTGCCCCCGGGCTCCCGTTGCCCACAGCATTCCCTCTGTGTTTCCAGGAGATGAAGCAGAAGCAGAAAGCCCAGGAGGAGCTGAGCTCCAGACCTGCGGCGCTGCCCCTGCCCGACGTGGTGCCGGACGGGGACGCGCTCCTGGGGCACAACGGGCACCCCCTGGGCGCCGGGCCCGCGGCCGCGCCGCCCGGCCACGCCGGGGGGCTGCAGCAGCCCCCCAGGAACCACGGACTCTTGGGGGGGGCCCTGGCGAACTTGTTTGTCATCGTGGGCTTCGCCGCCTTCGCCTACACAGTCAAGTACGTGCTGAGGAGCATAGCCCAGGAGTGACGTCCCGCAGGAGACCAAATTCTACTGGGGTCTGGGGGGGATTCGGGCTCTTCGGGGGCGGTTCTGGGGTGGTTTTGGCCTTCCCGGGTGGAATTGTGGTGGAGTTGTGGGTTGGGAATCAAAGCGTTCTTCGGGATCCACCTTGGTTTGTAGAGTTCTCCTCCATCTGTGGTTTGAACATCGAAGATCTCCAGCAAATTTTGACTCGTTGAGTTTTCTCTCCAAGAGGAGTGGGACACTTCGGAATGGCACGCTTTGGGTGGAGAATTTGGGGGCTTTGCCCTTTTTGGGTTCTAGTGGGGCTTTGGGTTCTGCTGCTCATCGTGGGCTTCGCCGCCTTCGCCTGCACAGTCAAGGAAGTCCTGAAGAGGAGAGTCCAGGAGTGACGTCCCGCAGGAGACCGAATTTTACTGGGGTTTTGGGGGGATTTTGGGGTTTTTTGGGGGGATTCTGGGCGTTTTGCCCTGCCTGGGTTGTGGTGGGACTCGGGGAACCACCTTGGTTTGTAGAGTTCCTCCATCTGTGGTTTGAACATCAGAGATCTTCAGCAAATTTTGACTCGGTTGAGGTTTCAATCCAAGATGATGGGACACTTTGGAGTGGGACTTTTGGGGTGGAAAATTTGGGATTTAGCCCTCCTGGGTTTTTTTGGGTTGGGAAGTCAAAAGGATTTTTGGGGAACCACCTTGGTTTGTAGAGTTCTCCTCCAGCTGTGGTTTGAACATCGAAGATCTTCAGCCAATTTTGACTCGGTTGAGTTTTCAGTCCAGGATGAGTGGGACTTTTTGGGTAGAAAATTTGGGATTTTTTTGTCCTTCCTGGGTTGTTTTGGGGTTTTGGGTTCTGCTGCTCATCATGGCCTTCGCCCTTTTCCTTCAGTTCTTTTTTTAAAAAAAACCCAAAATTTCTTTGGTATCCAGGAAATATTTTTGTCCCCAAATCCCAACCCCAAAATTCCATTGGGAATTTTTGAGGCAAAACTCCAAATTTGCTCCCTTTTCCTTCAATTCTTTAAAAAAAAAAACCCCAAAATTCCTTTGGGATTCTGAGAGTATTTCACCCCAAATTCCAACTGCCAAAATCCCAACCCCAAAATTCCTTTGGGAATTTTTGAGGTAAAACCCCAGATTTGGTTCCTTTTCCTTCAATTCTTTAATAAAACCTCAAAATTCTTTTGGGATTCCAAAAATATTTTGCCCCAAATCTCAAAATCCCAAAATTCAACCCTTCAATTTTATTAAATTCTTTCAAATCATCAAAACCCCATTAAAAAAAAAAAAAAAAAAAATGTGTTGCATTTAAACCCCAAAACTTCAAGAATTCCAAAATTTGTTGGGATTCCCTGGATTTGGAGGAAGATTTGGGATTCCAGGATTTGGGAACGGAATTTTTAATTCCCCTTTTTTGGGGTTGATTTGTGTTTTCCTGGGAATTCAATTTTTCCTCATCTCAAAAAATCCCAAAAAAAAAGAAATTTCAGCCTCTCCCTCAGGAGAAAATCTTGGAATAAACCCTTTAAATTCCACGTTGTCATTCCATGGATTTAAAAATTTGGGAATTTTTCCACAGATTCTTCCATTTCATAAAAATTCCTGAATTTTTGGGGGGATTTTTTTCTTGGAGATTCCTGAATTTCCCCAGGAGTGGGAATGGTGTAAAGTGATTTATTCAGAATAAAATTCCATCAAAATCGACTTTGTGGGGGTTTTTTTGGGAATAAAATTCCATGGGGGGAACAAATGGGATTGGGAATTTTTCTGTTGCTGAATAAAATAGTGAAAAAATTTGGTTTTTTTCCTGATTTTTTCCCTTTTTCCGATTGGACTTTCCAGCTTTTCATGGAGGTCTTGATGTTTTTCCTTCGTTGTTCATAATTCCAAATATTCCTGGGAATTTTGGGCTATTAATCTAATTTATAATTCATTATTACTTAATAATTTTATTCCTATTAATTTAATTTATAATTACAGGCAATTAATAATTAATTAATCAGGGAGACCAACTCTGCCCTTTTCATGGAGAAAAAATTGGATTTTTAAATCCCTTTTCCAGCAGAAAAATCACTTTAAAAAAGGGAATTAATTCCATTAAAACTCCCGGAATTCCCAAATTCCCGGAATTTCTTTTGGGAACGCCAGCGGCTCATTAGCATTAATTGGGAATTGTTAAGGGAAGAAATTTGGAAATTTTCCCCGGGAATTTCAGGGTTTTTTTTGGGATCCACCACGAGGTGGCGCCGCGGGGTCGGGAATGGGGAAAATCCTGGAAAATCTCAGCTGGGAATGATCCCAAATCCCAGAAATCCCAAAATCCGGGAATTTCGGGGCTCTGGGAATGTTTATGGATTGCCACAAAATCATCCCAAACTGGGAATGAACTGGGAATTCTGACCCATCCAAACTGGGAATGAACTGGGAATTCTGACACATCCACTGGGAATGAATCATCCCAAACTGGGAATGAACTGGGAATTCTGACACATCAAACTGGGAATGAACTGGGAATTCTGACCCATCCAAACTGGGAATTCTGCCCCATCCAAAATGGGCTTTATCCCAAGGCAGGATTGTCCAGCCCTGCTGGGTGCTCCAAATTCCCAAGAAAATCTGATTTGCCTGAGATAAAATCCCCCAAAAAAACCCTGATTTTCCCGGGAAAAAAAAAAAATTAAAAATAGGATTTTCCTGGAATAAAATCCCCCCAAAATCTGATTTTTCTGGGATAAATTCCCCCCCAAAAAAGCCGATTTTCCTGGGATACAATTAAAAAAAAAAAAAAAAAATCCGATTTCCTGGGATAAGCAGGGGCGGGTGCGGGAATTTCTGGGCTTGTGCCGAGAGGCGCTGCCGGCTCCTCCTTTTTTCCCTTTTTTCCCTGTTTTTTTCCCTCCTCCGCCTCCCGGAGCCGATGGAAACTCCTCCGGGCGGGCGGAGGAGCCGGAGCTCGGCAGGGCTGGAATTCCCCCCGGGATTCGGGATTTGGCTTTTAGGATTTGGGGTTCGGGATTTGGGATTTGGCATTTAGCATTTGGAATTCGGGCTTCGGGATTTGGGATTCGGGGTTCGGGATTTGGGATTTGGGATTTGGGATTTGGGGTCGGGGTTGCCGTGGGAAAGCCGCGCCCTGCTGCCCCGTGAGCGCGCCGGGACCTGCGGGGGTTTTTAGGGAAAAACGAGAAAAAAGAGGAAAAACTTGGGGGAAACTTCGGGGAAAACCTCGGGAAAAACTTGAGCGAAACTCTGGGAAAACTTGGGGAAAACTTGGAGAAAACTTGGGGAAAACTTGGGGAAAACTTCACCTGCTCCTCCCGCAGCCGGGAGACCCGCGGGGGTTCGCTGCCCCCGGAGCCTTTGGGGTCTGGGGTTTGGGGTTTGGTTTTGGGGTTTGTTTTTTGGGGTTTGTTTTTGGGGTTTGTTCTTTGGGGTTTGTTCTTTGGGGTCTGGGGTTTGGGGTTTGGTTTTGGGGTTTGTTCTTTGGGGTTTGTT